CGACAGTGGAAAGACGTCTCTCCAGCCTTTGCCTGCTGCGTTCATTTCGCTTGGCGAGCTTCCTGGAGGGACCGGCGGCCATGTCGTCGCAGTGCCTGTCGACATGCCGCTGATCCTTCCTCTCCTCGTATTATCGTCCTCCTTCTTCGTCTCTTTCCTTGCCCTCTCCCTCTTGCTCCTCATCATTTTCCTCATCATTTCGATGTTTCTTATCCTCATCAACCCTCCTCGTGATGACCTTTCCTCCTCTCTCCTTATGATCGAGTCCAGGGCAGCAGCCGTGCCCGTGCCCAGCCTCCCGTTGACGATCCTGGTCCTGGTGCATGGCGGCGGCGTCGGCGATGCGCTCCTGCTTGCAGAGCGCGGCGTCGACGAATAGCTCGTCTCATCCTCAAGTTCGCCCTGGCGGTGGACGCTCGACTGAGAAGCCTCGCCCGCATCGGGAGGCGCACCCTTGTCGGGGTCAGGCTCGCTCTCGGAGACCCTGACAACCATGAACAGCGATGCCATCTCGCCCGGGATCTGCCGCTGCGTCTGCTCCTGCGGGTAGCCACCAGTAGCGTCCGAGAGCTCGTGTACACCTCCGCGGCCTTTGCCACGCCTGTCCTTGCCGCTGCTCTTGTCCCTACATTTGCCGTTTCCTTGCTCTCGCGGCGGCTGCTGGCGTCCGTTCACATCGGCCCGGCTACAACAATCGGCCCACCTATGGCCCCGCCGCCAGCACCGATCGCAGTGCCCCTGGAATTGCTGTTAGGCGGCCCCTTTGCCAGCGCCAGCGGGGCCCGAAGACGGTGTCCCGCCGGCTTGGCCGCCCTTTCCTTTGCCTTTGGAGTCCTTGCCCTTACCTTTGCCTTTGCCTTCTTTGGTGTCTTTGCCACCTCGTGCCAGCGTCCCGATGTCCATCGGAACCGGGCCAATCCTGACCTGCACCAGCTCGATGCACCGCTCGACCTCGGTCATCAGGGACGCGCGCGCGTCAAGGCGGGCGACGCGCATGTCGATGTGATCGCTCAAGGTGTTCGGACACATGCTCCGCAAGCACGCCTTCCGCATGGAGTCGTTCAGCTCCTCGCCCGTCCGCCCCTCGTGGTGCATGTAGTCTTGCTCCCTCTGCTCAATCGCACTGAGCAGCTGGTCGATCCCGACCTGCGCCGGCCGCGGGATCTTCCTCTGCAGCCGGAAGTTGGCCACCGGATTGTTCGGGTCGAGCGTCCGCGCGAGCCGGCGCCAAGCGTCTAGGGCACAACTCTTCCAAGTGTTCTTCACGATGTCGAACGCTACCGTGCCCATCGTGGTCAAGCTGACCAAGAAGGCACGCAGCTGAACATTAAGCTCAGGTGCCCGCGGGCGCTCGTCCACGATGTCCTGCACCCGCTGCTTTGTAAGCGTCTCGCTGCCGATGCCAACAGCCCACTCGAGGATCACCTCGGCGTCGATGAACTGACCGTTGAGCCAAGTCACAAACTTGAAGCTCCATCCCTGCCAGTCGGCCTCCTTTCCGGTGAACGCCACCGGCTTGCCCACCGCCCCTCCTTACGGCGCCCCCTCGACTCGCCCTCGAAAAACGCCATGTTCTGCTCCAGCGATGCTTTGAGCGCACGTCCTTGCCCCGCCACTAGGGCGGCTACCGCTGCCAGCGCGTCGCCCGAGCGCTGCAGCTGCTGTTGCGCCGCCAGTTGTTGCTGGCGCAACGTCTGGCCTAGCTGATTGAACGTGTCAGCACCTGCTGTTCGTTCATCTTCTATTCCGAAGGTCCGTTCGAGGCTCGATCTCGAAGCCTCGGCCTCCGCCTGCTCCCACGTGTTTGAGCCGCGTGCGCGGGGGGGTGGGAACTAGGCCGTGGAAAACTGACCCAACTTTGGACCACTTTAATGGCTATGGAATACGCGCGCCGTTCGATGCAACACAATGGAAGCAAATAGGGCGGACAAATCGTGCCCCCCTTCACACGATCTACTATCAACATCTGCGTTGGGATTTTGGGAAGCCCATTTCTGTTCAATTCGGTCTCAATCGATATCGGGATATATACATATATATAATTATCGATCTCATTTTCGACCCACTAAAAATCTCACGCGTGATCTCGCCATCGATCTCACAACAGACCTTTCTATCGATCTCACAACAGATATCCCTATCGATATCACCGCAGACCCCACGATCGATCTCACTATCGGTCCCACTATCGATGTCACAATCAATCTCACCGTCACGCCACCAACGGAACGCCCCACGTCACCGACGGGACACCCCGCGCCACCGACGGGAAACAATCGCGCCACCGCCGCACCACCAACGGGACACCGACGGGACACCGACAGGACTCCGACGCGACACCGACGGGACACTCCCGGCCACCGCGCGCCGGGGGGGAGACAACCGGCCCGACAGCCCCTAGCCACGGCGGCATCATTGCTCTCGCGCGCTCACGCACCTTCGCCCGCACGCGCGATACGAACACGAAACCGAATCCGATTTTCCAGATGGGGGGCTCTCCGTTTCACTGCGATCTCACCCCCTCGCCTACGATATAGAAAGGGCTGTATACCTATACGACCACCCACGCTTTGGGTGATAAGGAGGTTCGGGGGGGGGGAACCAACGCTTCACTCGATAGGACCCGCTATCGATCTCAGTATCGATCTCACGATCGATATCGCTCGATCGATATCACTCGATCGATCTCACAATCGATCTCAATCGATCTGTTTCACTCGATCGACCCCAATCGATCTGTCAACTGATCTCACAATCGATACCACGATCGATCTCACAATATATCCCACATTCGGTATCACAGTAGATCTCGCTATCGGTATCACATTCGATGTCACAATCAACGTCATCAGCATCATCAACATCGTCGTCATCAACGTCATCAGCATCATCATCATCATCATCATCATCATCCCCATCGGGGCACCATCACCATCATCACCACCTCACCACCTCACCACCATCATCATCATCATCGTCATCGGGGCACCATCATCGTCACCACCATCATCTTCAACATCATCATCATCATCATCATCATCATCATCATCATCGGGATACCATCAACATCATCGGAACACAACAATCATCAGCAGCAACAACATATCACCATCAACACCATGAAAAACATCATCAACGCCATCATCATCAACATCCTCGTCATCGGGACACCATCATCATCAGCAACAACTGTGATATGGATCGACGCGCGGCGCCGTGGAAACTCTTTTGCTGAGCGCGGCTCGAAAAGATGGCGTAGCTCTGGCCAAGGGCCCTGAGAGAATCAACAGCGGCGGTGGGGATAAGAACAAACAGAGATAAAGAGAGCTAGGAATGAAACCACAGGGCCCTCGAGGCTTCTGGGGAAAACCCTCTCGGGCCTCTTACATTCCTGGGGAATGAGCTTGATTCACAACAACATCATCATCATCATCAACATCATCATCATCATCATCATCGTCATCATCATCGGGACACCACCATCATCGTCACCATCATCATCATCACCATCATCATCATCGGGACACCGTCGTCATCAACATCATCACCATCGTCATCATCATCGGGCCACCATCATCATCATCATACCCGCATCATCACCGCATCATCGGGACACCATCACCGTCATCATCAGGAATATGACCATCATCGGGACACGATCATCATCACCATCAACATCATCAACATCATCATCAACCTCACCATCATCATCAACGGGACATCATCCTCATCATCAACGTCAACATGATCATCACAATAATCTCATCATCAGCACCGTACGGATCATCAACATCATCATCATCTGGACAACATCATCATCATCAACAACATCAGCATCATCGACATCATCATCGGGGCACGATGGTGACCACCACGGCCATCACCAGCATCACCGTCATCACCAGAATCATCATCATCATCATCATCATCATCGGGACGCCATCGTCATCAACATCATCATCATCATGATCATCATCACCATCATCGGGGCAACATCAGCATCATCATTGTCGCAACGCCACCATCATCATCATATCACCGTCATCATGAATAACATCATCAACATCATCATCATCGAGACACCATCGTCATCATCATCAGCAACAGCATCATCATCAACATCAACATCATCGGGGCACCATCATCATCGTCACCAGCATCATCATCATCATCGGGACACCATCAGCATCATGAACATCAGCATCATCATCAGCATCATCATCATCATAATTGGGCCACCATCATCAAACTGATTATCGTCACCCCATCATCATCCTCATCATCAACATCATCATCGGGGCACCATCATCGCCATCATCCGCATCAACAACATCATCATTGGGACACCATCCTCATCATCACCATCATCATCAACAGCATCATCATCATCAACCTCATCATCATAGGGACACCATCATCGTCATCATCTTCATCATCACCTCATCATCATCAACATCATCATGCTCAGTTACATCATCATCACCATCACCAGGGCACCATCATCATCAACAACATCAACATCATCAACATCACCATCATCGGGACACCATCATCATCATCACCACCATGGCCATCATCATCATCATCATCATCATCATCATCATCATCATCATCGTCATCGTCATCGTCATCGTCATCGTCATCATCATGGACACCGGCAGGACACCGGCAGGACACCGCGCGCCACCGGCCCCCGGACAGGAAACATTTGGACCGGCCGCGACTCAGCCAGAGGCGGGACACTTCTCGCCCGCCCACGCAGCTTCGCCTCGCCCGCACGCGCGGCACGCACGAACACGGAACCGAAACCGATTTCCCGGTAGGGGGGCTCTCCGTTCCACTTCGATCTCACCCCCTCACCTCCGACATAGATAGTGAAAGAGGGAGAGGAGGGAGTGAAAGTGAGAGAAAGAGAGATATATGCACACAAACAAACACACACAAGCATATGCACAACGCACGCATAGAACTATAAGGAGATGATGAGGGAGAGAGGCGTCCTGGAGACGAGGAAAGGGATGAAGACAATACTTAGGCAGGTCGCCGCTGCAGATACCAGCTTGCCCAGCGGCTGCTGCGGCACCCACGGGAGGTCGCGGCCTGCCAACAGGGGCCGCAGGGGTTCCACATACCTTTCCTCCCTCCTCCTCCTCCTCCTCCTCCTCCTTCCCTTCCCACACCCCGTGGCCCTCCCCTCCAAAGTTTCCTCCACTTCTCCTCCTCCTCCTCGTCGTACTCCTCCTCCTCCTCCTCCTCCTTTTCCTCCTCCTCCTCCTCCTCCTCCTCCACCTGTTTCTCTTCTCCTCATTTCTCCTCCTGCTCCTCCTCCTCTTCCGCCTCTCCCTATCTTCTTTCGCCTTCTCTTGGCAGGGGGAAGAGCAGGGGGAGGAGGATCATAAGGGGGGAACCACAGAGAAATACAAACATCTAATACACATATATATATATATACATATATGTATATATAGAAACAGAGAGATGGAGAGAGGAAGAGAGAGAGAGAGAGAGACAACAAAAAAAAATATAGAGGAAGAGAGGAACGAAGAGAGGGACAAACAGAGAGACAGTCAGAAAGACAGAGAGCGGTATAGAGAGATAACGATAACGAGAGGAAGAGAGAGAGAGAGATAACGAGAGAAAACGAGAGGATATACAGTGGGGGCCCGATCACAAGAAACCTTCCACAAGACACCCAACACTGAGACCCCAGGACGCCCATCGATTTTTGGTGTGGGAACGTCACGATTTCCGTGACAAAGCCATCGAAACCCAAGAAACCCAGGGCACCCTGGAGACAAGCAGGCTGTTTCTTGGCATGGGTCTCCACTGTAGAGAGAGAAAGAGAGAGAAACGCACACACACACACACACCCACACATACACACACACACACACGCACGCACGCACGCACGCACACGCAGGCAACGGGAGAGACACATACTGTGCAACACAGGTGTCTTGGGCACCCCCGGGGTGGACCCTGGCAGATACCAGGGCCAACACCATGTGCACTTCGGAAAGAGAGAATGCTCGAGGAGGCGAGGAGGGAGAGGCAACCAGGAGCGGCAGGCACACGGAAGGGGGGAGCGTTGCGAGGACGGCAGCCACAACGGCAAGCTGGTCGACCCGAGGCGGGAGCGCGCCAAAGGCCCTCGACCCTCGGGGCGCCGATCCCCGCTGGCCTCCGGTCCGATCCCACGGGCTCGCCGACCCGCACGTCTTCTCGCCTCTTGCTCCGAGGAAGCCCCAGGGAAGTGTTTTTTGGCCGCGAGGCACCGGTCTTCCACGGGTGTCGAGAGCTAGAAGCCATTTTGACCCAACGTCGCCCGATCGCGAGGACTCCGGCTGGCGCGCGCTCAGTGGCAGGAGCGCTGAGGCTGCGTGATCTGCGGCTTTGACGTCGTTCCGAGAACGCCAGGGAGATGAGCGTCGCGCAGCGATGGGAAAGGCGAGGGGTCGGCGCTCTGAGAGGCCTGAAAGAATCGAAATGGGTTTTGCCCTCTCACAGTGTAGGAATGGGGTGCAAGAGGCAGAACGGTACGACGGCGATGGTGGCGATGGGATCGGGAAAATGCGTATTTCCTGCCTGCCCACCGCTGCAAAGAATACACCGCGAGCGGTACGGGCACATCGGGCGGCGCCGCCTTGAGCCGAGGCGGCAACGGGACAAGCGAGACAAATAATGATGCCGCTTGCCCAAAACGGGCCCAGAAGAGGGAACACGAACATCCAAGTCGAACCTTCCGCCACAAGAGGCGCCCAGGAGGCCCCAAGAGGCTCCCAAGAGAGCCCAGCAGGCCCCCTGGAGGCCCCCAAGGGGCCCGAAAAGAGGCCCCAAGAGGCCCCCAAACGGTCCCCAAGAGGCCGCGCACGCGTAGGCAAATGCCTGCGATGGCACAATACGGGCCCGTGGAGTGAGCAAAGCGATTCAATAATCATGTCGCTCGCCTTCGGAGCGCGCCCTCAAACTGAAAGGGGCCCCTTCGAACGGCTCTGGGCTTCGGCGAGGGCTTCTCGGGGGACCCCCTGGGCGAAGCCTCCCGCCCTCTGGGGAGACCGCCCCCCCCCCCTCGCCCCCGCCCCCGTGCGCTGGGCGCCGCGAGGAGCAGAAGCGGCAGGGGCAGCAGGAGCAAGGGGGGGGCTGCATCGGGAGCGCAGTCGCCACGCATCACAAGGATGCGCGATAAGGATGCACGGGCCATGGGCGCCCATCTCGAAGCTTCTCGAGCGGGGCGCGGCCAACGCAAGTGGCCAAGAATGGACCGAGGAGGCAAGGATGCAAGGGTACCCTTGGGAAGGATGCCCACCCCTCTTACGCGGGCTAGCTGTAGGATCCGCAACGCGAGGAGTGTGGGGAGTGGACAAAAGGGCGCAAGAGGGCCCCCAGAAGACCCCAGAGGGCCCCGAAAGGCCCCAAGGACTGCCCCCAGAAGCCCCCGAAGACGGCCCCGAGAGGGCCCCCAAGAGAAGGTGAATGCGAATTGTCACTTCGCGCCCTCCGCCCCAAGAGAAACCCCGGGACCTGCAGCGCGCCCCTAAAGGACCCAGAAGGCCCAGGAGGCCCCCCAACACAGCCAACCCGCATCATAAGGATGCGCAATGAGGGTGCAAGGGCCTTGGAAGGCCATCTCGAAGCTTTGCAAACAGGGCGCGGCCAACGAACGTGGCCAAGGATGGGCCGAGGAGGCACGGATGCAAGGGTTCCCTTGGGGAGGTTGCCCATCTTTAGTACGCGGGCTGACTGCGTGCCCAAGTCAGGCCCCGAAAGGCCCCCAAAAGGCTCCCATGGGGCCCCAAGGCACGCCCAACGCAGCCTTCAAGAAGCGCCCGAGACCACTCCAGAAATGCCCCCAGAGGAACCCATGAGGCCTCCAACAACCCAGGCACGTTGGCGGGTTGCGTCGAATGCCACTAGATCCGCCGCCCCCTGTTGATTTATCACAGGGGTGCCTGGCGTGCTAGATGATCTCGGTTTTGGTTTTGGTTCCTTTCCACAAGAACTCCCCCTGGGGCTCCAGCGCGTCCCGCCAGCCACCCGAAAAGGCTGCCCAGGCTGCCAGGAGCCGGTTGCCAAAAGTTTTCCCTGCTCCAGACGGCTCCAAGACGGCCCAAGATGGCCTCCAAGACGGCCAACATGGCCTCCAAGACGGCTCAGATGGCCCCAAGATGCCTCCCAAATGGCCCAAGATGCCTCCAAGACGGCCTAAAATAGACTCAAGATGGTTCAAGACGGCCCAAGAGGCTCCCAAGAGCCCCCCAAGACGCCTCCAAGAGGTCCTCAAGGAGGGCCCGAAGAGGCCAACATCATGGGTTTTCCTAAGGTTTTTGAAGGATTTTGGCATTTGCTTCTTTTCGGCCTTCCGAAGACCTCAAGACAGCCCAAGAGGCCCCAGAGATCGCCCCAAAATCGCTCACGAGGCCTCCAAGATGGCCCCATGACGGCCCAAGAAGCCCCCAAGAAGGCCCCAAGAGGGCCCCAAGACGGCCCACGAGGCCTCCAAGACGCCCAAGATGGTCTCCAAGACGGACCCGAAGCGCCACAAGAGGGCCCCAAGTCGGTTCAGAGAGGCCCCAAAGACGACTCCCGACAGCGTAAGACGGGCCAGGAACGCCATAAGACGGCCAAAGAAGCCCCCGAGAAGCCCAAAAAGTGCCCCAAGAGGCCCTCAACAGGCCCCAAGAGAGCCCAAGATAGCCCCAGCATGGCCTCCAAGACGGTCCCAAGATGATCCAATCGAGCCCAAGAGTGCCTCAAGAGGCTCCGAAGAGGCATCCTCCCCCTTCTCCTTTTCCTCCTTCTCCTCCTCCTCCCCTTCCTCCCCCCCGCGTTCCCCGAAACCTTTCCAAACCGACTCGGGGAACACATGGTCCAATAGCTTGGCCAAGCTCTAGCCCAGCTGTCGGACACATAGGCGCTTCCACAAGGGCAGGGGGCGCCGGTGATTCGCCGTAGGCGTCTTCGATCCGCCGCCCCCTGTCGATTCATCGCAGGGGTGCCTGGCTTGCTAGACCCTTTCGGTTTTGGTTTTGGTTCTTTTTCCTAAAGGACTCCCCCTGGGGCTCCGGCGCGTCCCGCCGGGGTCCTGGTCGGGAGGATTGCCACGGAGCCCAAATTCCCAAGAATTTCCTCCCAGACGGCTGAAGATGGCCTCCAAGATGGCAACGCTGGCCGAAGATGGCCCCCAAGATGGTCCAAGATGGTCTCCAAGTACGCCCAAGATGGCCTCCAAGACGGCCCAAGAGAGTTCAAGACGGCCCAAGACGGCCCAAGATGCGCACCAAAGGCCTCCAAGACGGCCCCAGAGGCCTCCAAGAGGTTCTCCAGGAGGGCCCGAAGAGGCCAAAATCATGGGTATTCCTAAGGTTTTTGAAGGATTTTGGCATTCGCTTCTTCTCGGCTTTCCGACGACCCAAGAGGCTCCCAAGATCGCCCCCAAGATCGCCCCCAGGGCGCCCAAGAGGCCTCCAAGATGCCCTCAGGACTGCCCAAGAGGCCCCCAAGAGGGCCCCAAGAGGGCACAAAGACGACCCAAGATGCCTCCAATACGCCCAAGATGGCCTCCAAGACGGCCCTGGAGCACCCCAAGAGGGCTCCAAGTCGGCCCAGAAAGGCCCCCCAAACGGCTTCCGACGGCGTTAGACGGGCCAGGAGCCCACCAAGATAGCCGAAGTTGGCTCAAAACTTGCCCAAGACGGCCCAAGAGGCCTCCAAGAGGGCCTCCAGGAAGGCCAGAAAAGGCAGCAAAAGCACTGATGTTCACTAGGTTTTTGAAGGATTTTGACATTTGCTTCGTTTCGGCCTTCCGACGGCCCGATACGGCCCAAGAGCCCCCAAACATCGCCCAAAGATCGCGGAGCATTCTAAGAGGGCCCCAAGTCGGCCCAGAGAGGCCCCCCAAACGGCTTCCGACGGCGTCGGACGGGCCAGGGGCCCACCAAGACGGCCGAAGATGGCACTATGATGGCCCAAGACGGCCCAAGAAGCGGCGCTCCGTCGTCGTCGTCGCCCATGTTGGGGCGGTCCGTCGTCGTCGCCGCCCACCGATTATCGCGTACATTAAAAAAACTGGGCGGGAAGCCTGTAAAATATTGAAGAGGACGAGGAGGAGCAGGCAACGAGTGGAAGAAGAAGAGCAGGAAGATGGTGCAGTCAGGTGATATTACATATGTCGTCATCCGATGGACCCCCTCCTCCTGGTCCCTCCGGGGCCTCCCCCTGGCCGCTCAAATTATCTAGGGGCCTTCGGCCCATCCTGCCTCTTGGAAGCAGTTTCGAAGCCTCTCGGGGCCGGTTTTGTCGGCCTCTTGGGGCCCATTGGTGGCCTCTTGAGGCTTCTTGGGGTTCTCTTGGGGCCTCCTGGGAATTGATTATTCGGGCGGAATCCTGGAATTTTCGGTTCGTTGTCCCCCTCCTGGGCCCCTCTTGGGGCCGCCTTGGGGCTCTCTTGGGCCCTCGTGGGCGCCTCGTGGGCCGTCTTGGGACCCCCTCTGGCCGTCTTAGGGGCCTCTTGGGAGCCTCTGGGGCCGTCTTGGGGCTACATTGGGGACCTATGGGGCCGTCGTTAACGCAGTGAAAGCCGAAAAATCGTATGTGCTGAAAATGCACGGTTCCTCTGGAAAACCAATGGTTTTGGGCTCGTGGGGCCCTGTGGGCAAGCCTTTTGGGGGCCTTTTTGGGCGTCTTGGCGGCCTGTAGGGCTCTCTGGCAGGCATCTTGGGCGTCGTGGGGTGATCTGTCGACGAGTGGCTGCCGTCGTGGACGACGCTGGGCACGTCTGGGGGGGATCTTGGCGCGGCTCGGGGGCGCCCGGGCCTCCTCCCGAACGGCTTCGGCGAGCCGTGGACCCCATGCCCCGTTGAGGCCCCGGCCCCGGAGGCCCCCACCCTGTATTCCGGTGTCTATATATACCCATCGGTCGGAAGAAGTAGGTAGAAACATAAAGTAGGAAGGCGTTGGAATTAGATTGGGTTTCCGCCCGCCTCCTGACGAGGAAGGAAGGAGGAAAACCACTCGACTCTTGAAGTAGGAAGGCGCTGAAAGTAGATTGGAATCTGGGAATCCAAAAATACCTACTTTCAACGACCGGTGGGTATATACATATATATATATATATACACAAACACCTACACACGTACCTATACACATGCAAATATCTATATACATGCATGCATAGACATGTGCATAGATGCTCGTTCTTCGAACTTCCAACGCGAGGATGTCTGGAGATGTGTGTGGTGGGGGGGGGGGGGCGGCATCCTGCGAAAAGGTTCACCATGTACAGCAGGCAATCCTCGGACGGTTGGGGGGACGCATCCCACCGTCGTCCTCTTGCAAGTCCTACTCATTCTTCTCTCCATCAAATCACCACCATCATATCCGCATCATCATCATCATCATCATCATCATCATCATCATCATCATCATCATCATCATCATCATCCTTCTCATCATCATCATCATCATCATCATCATCATCATCATCATCATCATCATCATCATCGGCGTCGTCGTCATCATCACCATCCCTCGTCCTCCATCGTCCTTCCCCTATTCCTGCATATTCTTCTTTGCTCCTCCATCCTCCTCCTCCTCCTCCTCCTCCTCCTCCTCCTCCTCCTCCTCCTCTCCCTTCTCTCCTCCTGCCAATCCTCCTCCTCTTCCTCCTGTCCCTCCTCCTCCTTCTCCTCTTCTGTCTCTCTCGCTCTCCCTTCCACTCTTCTTTGCAAAGAGACTCCAGGAGACGTGCTGGTGATACCCTGGCCCCCCCCCCGTTATTCATTACCTCCCACATCTCCTCCTCCTCCTCCTCCGCCTCCTCCTCCCCTCCTCCATCTCGTCTCCGTCTCCCCCCGAGACCTGCATGAAAAGGAAAAGGATGAGGAGGAGGAGGCGGAGGAAGAGGCGGCAAGAGATGGAGGCGGGAACATGAGGGGGAGGGGCGCGGCATATGCGGGCATCCTGGGGAGCATTTGCGGGAGTGTGGCACACGTGCGGGCATGTGCGGCGGAAGGTGCGGGCATGTGCTGGCACGTGCAGTGGCGCATGGTAGGGGAGAGGGGGCAACCAAGCAAGGCGCAGCACATCACCCTGCATACGCCCGAATCCGCGCGCGTGTGAGCAAACCTACCAAGAAGGCCCCACACGTGCTCCTCACATGCAGCATGCCCCGCACATGCTGGCGCAAACACAACTGCAGATACACCCAAGCAGGGATCTAGAGGTGAGTCCTCTGGGCGACGATCGCCGTCCCCTCGACAGCCGCATATAACCAACATGGACAACCGGTACGCTTGGTGCGCCATCGGCGATGTGCGCTCCACGTGCGCCAGTGCAGGTGGCGGCGCACACAGAAACACATGCCAACGCGCAAGAGGCCCTTGTCGAAGGCCAACTCAAAATGACGGCGGGGTGTCGGCACATGTGGGTTCTGCACGTATCTGGTGCGGTGGCTCCAAAGGAGGTGAGGGGAGGGAGGAGAAGGGTGGCGGAGACACATCGGGAAAGGGCAGGGGAGGGAAGGTGGGGGGGATGGGATGGGGCGAGGGAAGGGCATGGGGGAAATGGGGGGCAACAATACATAAATATATAATTAAATAAAGATATATATATATATATAGATATATAGATATGAAACCCAGACTTCGAAACCTGAATATTACAACATACTCTGGGATTGGGGGCACTGGGGTTCTCTATGCAAACATGCTTGAATCCGAGGAGCCCGAAGCAGCAACCCGGCCAACGTGCAGTGCAGACGGCTTCCCAAGGCGCGCCCCAGCGTGCCCCAAAAATCAATGGACTCTAGGATCGGAAACACTGAGGTTCTCAGTGATAACGTTCTTGCTCCCAAAAATCCTGCAGAAACCTAGCCAAAGTGCAAACGGCTTCCTAAGATAGAGGCAGAGGCTTCCACATCGAATCGCGTCGCCGATGCATCGGCGATGCGGCGCATCCTCCGACCCCATCCGCTGGGACCCCATATGGGAGGCCTCGATACAGTCAGACCTAAGACAGAAACACATCCTTCAAAAGCATGAGACCCTCCGCTGGCCCAAACGGTACAACATTCGAAGGTGCCCTCCCACAAGATGCACAATCATATCCAACAATGACGAAGAACTTTAGGGTACCCTCCCCGAACCGACCTCGATCGTATATCTCGGTCCGACTGTAATAGAAACCTCCTAGATGGGGTCGGAGTAGATGGGGTCGGAAATCGCGCCGCATCGCCGACACATCCGCGATACATCGCCGACGCATCGGCGATGCATCGGTGACATCGGCGATGCATGGGCGACGCCAGCATGGAGAATATCGGGCTCCACATCGAGCCGCATCACCGATGCATCGCCGATGCGGCGCGATGTCCAGACCCAATATGCTGAGACCGCATTTGGAAGGCTTGGATACAGTCGGACCTAGGACAGAAACACATCCTTCAAAAACATGAGACCCTCCGCCGGCCCAAACGAAAGGACAACCAGGGGTGCCCTCCCCCCAGGATGCACAATAACGTCCAACAAACACGAAGAACACTGGGGTACCCTCTCCGAACCGTTCTCGATCTTTAGAGACTTCCTGAGTGGGGTCAGAGGATCTCTCTGCATCGTCGATACATCGCCAATATCGCCAAGGCATCGGCGATGCACTGGCGACGTCGTCGATGCATCGGCTACGTCGACGTGGAGAAAGGCCCCACATCGAGCCCACCTACTCCGACCCCATCTAGCTAGAACCTTATACCTCGGTCCGACTGTAAGGCGTTCCCCCACTGCAAGAGGGAGGTCCTCGAACGACCTGTAGGCGAGGGGCACCCCGGGCGAGGACTCGTACAGGAAGAGTACGGTGGCGGAGACCGTCATGGTGCCCAGGAGAGACAGCAGGACGGACACCAGCTGCTGCTCCAGGGGCAGGGGCGTGCTTCCCCTCGTCTCCCAGGGAACAGATCATGGCATGCATGCAGTCGAAACGCTGCCATAAGGACCTGTGAATATAATCAGAGGCCTCCTGGATGGGGTCCGAGTGGAAGTTGTCGGATGATCGCGCCGCATCGCCGATGCATCGCCGATGCATTGGTGATGCATCGGCGACGTCGGCAATGCATCGGCAACGCCAGCGTAGATCAAATCGGGCTCCACATCAAGCCGCATCGCAGATACATCGTCGATGCGGGGCGATCCTCCGATCCCATCTACTCGCACCCCATCATGACCCCATCTGGGATGCCTAGAAAGAAGGAACGAGGCCCCTGTTTTTTTGTCCAGAAGTTCAAAGCAACCCGCAACTGGTAATGTATACTTTCCAGTTTCCCATGGCCCCATCTGGGAGGCCCGGAAAGAAGGAACGAGGTCCTGTTGTTTGTATAAGTTCAGAGCAGCCCGCCACTGAGCACCCCCCCTGGAACGAAAAAGGTTCCTTCTTCATCGACCCGACTGCACGTCACCAGAAACTTTCTCTGAGGTCCGCGCGGATTTCTCCGATCGGCGCTGGAGTCCCGTGCGTCGCCTCTGGCGAGCTCCGCGCGAAAGGGAGGCCCGGTCCAAGAAATCAGCGCGGACCTCCAAACGTGTTCTTTGCGGTGCGCACAAGGAGGTGGAGGGAGGGGGGAGGGCTTCTGAGAAGGAGGCTGCTTCTTAGAAGGCGTCGGCCTTACATCTATAGGTAACGCCCGCGCCTCCTAAGAAGCAGGGGTACTTCTAAGAAGCCCTCCCCCCCTCCCCCCACCCCTTCTGCGCGTGGCTGATGTTCTGCTCATGTCAGCATCTGTTCCTCGAGTCTTGTCATTAGCGGCCTCGACGAGGAGCCGCAGGAATCTTGCGATCTGCAGCAAGTTCAGGTAGTCCTCCAGCGCGGGTGCGCCCATGAAGCGCACCGGGATGGAGATCACGGGGAGGCAACTTGCCAAGTCGAGCAGCGCCTTCCCAGTGAACAACCAGCCGGTCTTCCAGTCGTTGGACCAGAAGAGGAGCAGAAACTTTATAAAGAACGACACGTTGATGAAGTCCTCTAGCTCGGTAAAGTGGTAGCGGATCGCCGTCTCCTGGGAGGACGCTTGACCGTACACCTACACCGATCCTGGCCAGGCCGCCCGTCTTGGGCCCAGGATCGGTGTACGCGCCACCCTGGCTGGGGCAGGATGGCGTACACTATCATAGGCACCATTGCTGGGCCAAAGATTGCGTCGGCGGTGAGCGGTGCTGGTGTGTAATTCGATTTGTCGCCCAATCTCCGGCTCTAGCACGCTCGTCAGGAAGCAGATGGCGCCGTAAGCGGTCAGGACGGTGTCAGACACTCTGTAGTAGAACGGTCTTGTCTCCTCAGTGACCAAGAGGAACTCCTTGTAGGAAGTCCTCGCAGCTGCCACGCTGAGCACCTCGCCCTCCTCCTCCTCCTCCTCCTCCTCCTCCTCCTCCTCCTCCTACGTCCCTCCCCTGGAGCATCGCCCGTCCCTTGCCCGTCAGCACCATGCCCCTCTTCCTCGTCCTCCTCCAGCTCTTCCTCATGCGCCTCCACCCCTTCCTCCTACTGCAAGCCACAGGGCTTTGCGCATCGCGCCCCACGATGCGTGACGCGCGATCTGCCTGCCCTCGCCCCACAGCCCTGGAGAAAGGCTCTCTCGCGGGCCTACGGCCGCAAGCCACTGCAGGCATTCCTGGAAATAGTTTGGGCCACCTTGGGCCACGGGCCCCTTTGGGCATTGGGTGACCGCTGACTTCATGTTGCCCAACAATCCTGTGTTGTTGGGTCTTCATTTTGATGAGACAGCGCCCCTCGTCCTCACTCCCACCTCCCGCTGCCCCCTCCCTTGCTCGTCTCCTTGCCACCTCCGCACGTCATGAACGTCGTCGTCGTCATCTCTGCCAACACCAAAACAATCACCATCGCCATCATCGTCACCATCACAAGCATCATCAACACCACCACCACCATCACCACCATTATCGTCATCATCATCAGCATCATCAGCAGCATCATCACCATCATCGTAAGCAGCAGCATCATCAGCATCAGCAGCACCATAAACATCAGCATCATCATCAGCAGCAGCAGTATCAGCGTCACTGCCATCATCATCCTCATCATCAAGAATCATACTCATAATGATAATCATCAATTTGGATATCAACATCGTCACCATCATCAGCATCATCATCGTCATCAACATGATCATCATCATGATTATCATCACCATCACCAATTTCAACACCAGCATCATCATCATCAGCATCATCAGCAACATCATCATACTGAGCATCATCACCGTCAATATCAACAACATCAACATCATTAGCAGTATCGCACTTAGTGCGAGCATCATCATAATCATCAACGTCAGCGTCATCACCCTCTCCCTCACAGTAATCATCTCCATCACCATCATCATCACCATCATCAACACCACCATAATCCTCACTCTCACCCTCACCCTCACCATCATCATCACAAGCATCATCAACACGATCGTCATCATCATCACCATCATCACCATTATCGTCATCGTCATCGTCCGCGTCCTCGTTCTCATTATCGTCACCTTCATTGTCATCGTCGTCATCGCCATCGTCGTCATCGTCGTCATCGTCATCGTCATCGTCATCGTCATAAACATCCTCCTCATCCTCATCCTCATCCTGCTCCTCCACCTCCTCCTCCTCCTCATCATCATCATCATCACCATCGTGTCACACTCCTCCTGCTCCATCACCTCGGCACATTCCTCACACTTGTCGTGGCCCCGGATGGAGCTCCACCCAAGGCCCTAGTGGCAGGGTCCGCATGCGGTTCCGCGCCCACTCCAGCGTACCCCTCACACATGTCTTGGCCGCAGGGAGCTCCTCTCAAAGCCCGAGTGGCAGGGTCCGCATGCGGTTCTGTGCCCATTTCGGCGCTACCATCATACGCTTCGCGGCCCCATAGGGAGCTCCACCCAAGGCCCCAGTGTCAGGGTCCGCATGCGGTTCCACGCCCACGTCGGCACACACCTCACACGTTTCGTGGACGCACATGAAGCACCCCCTCCTTCGCCCCACCTGCCTTGCGGTACCCACATCTGCATATGGCCGGGTCCTTCGACAAGATCATTTCAACAAAGGGTTCCCGTAAGTCCCGCCTTCAGGGCCGGCTTTTCGTCCTGCGTCGTTCCTGAAGGGCCCCTGTGGCCCTGCGTGGGCCCCTGGTCGCCGAGATGGCGAGACGGGCCGTCTTGTTTCGTTCATTACCTCGGAGGTCCGGGTGTTTACGGCGGCTCCCCTCCCTCCCTCCCTCCAGGTGTTCACATCCGAACCCTGCCCCCACCAGCCGCGATTCGCCAGAATCGATGGGAGGCGGGGGCAGGCTTTGGATTTCGCCACGTGGCCGATGGTCTCGGCAGCCTGCCCCGCCGCCCATCACGTGACCTGACGTTGCAGGGCGAGGGCAGGATCCGGACAGACGTCACCGCCAATCCCTCGGCAGCCTCCTTCGGTGGCAACTCATGGGAGCCTCCCGCACCATCTTGTCG